ATATCATTTTACTTTTATTTTTTAAATTTGTTTATCTTACCACCTTAAAAATTATAATGTACCTTTTCTTATTTGAACTACATGTTGAAGATGGAATGAAAGTATGGATCAATGCGAAAATACTTTATTTTGGATTATGAATCTGTTATAAGAGGTTCAGTTAACAATTGGTTAATCCAATCTAAATACAAATATAATTGTTGGCAGGGTTACCGGCTTTCGGGACGGGCCGAACGCCCGAACTCGAACGCCCGAACATACGGGACCCATTCGGGAGGCGTTCGGTCGTTCGGGCCGAATGCGGACGTGCAAAAAAAAAAAAAAAAAAAAAAAAAAAAAAAAAAAAAAAAAAAACGAAAACAAACTATGTTATGGAGAAACATAAACTAAACAACATTTGCCCGGGCACTACATCCAAATTCTTCACGAAATTTGAATTAAAAATCCAATAAAAAAAATAAACACTATGATAAAATTTCATAAAAATAAGAAAATATAAAAAGAGAATTCAAATGATGGAGTCTGCCAGCACCTTTTGGACACCGCCATCTTTGCCGATTTTTAATTATTTTTTGGCATTGACAAATGCCGTGAAAATTTACAGATATGTATTTTACATAATCAATAACTCATTAAAATTTTTTCAAAAAATAATAAAATTGTTTAGGCCCCGAAATAAAGTAAAAACAAAAAGTTAAAAGTGAAAAAAAACAAAATAGTGAGTGGGCGAGCACGTTTTGACACCCCCATTTTTGACGATTTTTAATGTTTTTTTGGCTTAGCAGAATGGCTTCAAAATTTATGGATGTGTAGGTTACATCATAGAGAACTCACAAACAAAACTTCAGAAAAACAAACTTATTTTAAGGCCCCGAAATATTTTTTGGCGGGGGCCGAACCTGGAGGTGTTCGGCCCCCGAACAGGACCCCGAACGCCCGAACGTTCGGGGGCCTGCTCGGGGGCCCCCGAACGTTCGGTCAGGTAACCCTGATTGTTGGAGTATAATAAAAGTTTTATAAAAATATATTTTTAATTCGTCATGATTTTTATTATATCTTCAACAAGTAGATGTAATTGGAAGGAAAAATTTATTTAAGACGAAAACGTTTGAAATAGAACTGGAAATTTGCAATTGGAATAACATTTTATACTTTTCAATTATATTTTTTATTGTGAAGGATTTTTGGAAATGAAATATTCTTTCAATTGTTCATTTATACCATGATAAAAGTTATCAGTTTTACAGGCACCCCCCTGTTCTGTATTTGGACTTGTATGTAATGAATTGAATGAACTCGACCATAAGAGGGAGGCTGAAGAAGATAATGAGAAGTTCATGAGAAAGATTATATAGATGAAATATAAAAAGAAACATCGAGCCCCAGATATTGATCATTATGGTAAACTTGATGCAACAAGGACAAAATCGACTCTAAAACGTAGTGATCAAAGGGCAAAGAAAATAATTAAAAGGACAACAACAATCAATAATAGAGACGTATTTTTGAAGGAATCGTATAAATGTTTGCGTGACACGA